CGTCGGTGGAGCTCCCTATGGGGCCACGAAGCGATGCAGTGGGTGGGGGGGACGCATGCGGGCGGTAGCACTGGGACCTTCGGTGGAGCTCCCTATGGGGCCACGAAGCGCTGCACTGGGAAGGGGGGGACGCATGCCGGCGGTAGCACTGGGACCTTCGGTGGAGCTCCCTATGGGGCCACGAAGCGCTGTTCTGGGCGGGGGGGGCGCATGTGGGCGGTGGCACTGGGGCCGTCGGGGAGCTCCCTGGGGCACGAAGCGTGCAGTGGATGGGGGGGACGCATGCGGGCGGTAGCACTGGGCGTCGGTGAGCTCCCTATGGGGCCGAAGCGCTGCACTGGGTAGGGGGGGATGCATGCGGGCGGTAGCACTGGGACCTGCGGTGAAACTCCCTATGGGGCCACGAAGCGATGTACTGGGTGGGGAGGACGCATGTGGACGGTGGCACTGGGGCCGTCGGTGGAGCTCCCTATGGGGCCACGAAGCGCTGCACTGGGTAGGGGGGGACGCATGCGGGCGGTAGCACTGGGACCTTCGGTGGAGCTCCCTATGGGGCCACGAAGCACTGCACTGGGTAGGGGGGGACGCATGCGGGCGGTAGCACTGGGACCGTCGGTGGAGCTCCCTATGGGGCCACGAAGCGCTGTACTGGGTGGGGGGACGCATGTGGGCGGTGGCACTGGGGCCTTCGGTGGAGCTCCCTTTGGGGCCACGAAACGGTGTACTGGGCAGGGGGACGCATGCGGGCGGTAGCACTGGGACCTGCGGTGAAACTCCCTATGGGGCCACGCAGGCGCTGCACTGAGCGGGGGGAGGCATGCGGGCGGTAGCACGGGGGCCGTCGGTGGAGCTCTCTATGGGGACACGAAGCGCTGCACTGGATGGGGGGGACGCATGCGGGCGGTCCCACTGGAGGCTTCGGTGGAGCTCCCTATGAGGCCACGAAACGTATGAGGGGCGTGCCGAGGTTGTTGACATGCGGAGAGCAGAGGCAAGGAGGGGGAGGAGGGAGGAGGGGGAGGAGGAAGGAGGCGGGAGGAGGAGAACGCGGGGTGCAGTCTCTTCAAACGAGGACCCAATACCACAGGATGGTTGGAAAAAAAAACATTCAAAAATGATCGACAGATCGTCCCCAGACTGTCTTTTGACTATTTCTGAACAGTCTTCCTGTAGAGGGGCATGCCCGACTTAAGCTCAATTATGCCCCCATGACGCTGCCCCTGACAAGCGGGGGCACCCAAGAGCGAGCGGCGGGGAGCGCCGGCGCCGCAAGCCTACGACCCAGGGCACGGGCAGGCCACTCACGCGGTCTGCCCTAGTTGTCGTCGCTCGGACGCGGTCTTCGTGTGGGTATCCATACCCGTTCGGCCGGAAGAAATAGAAACAAACATGGAGTAGGAAGGCGTCGGGAGTGGAAGGCGTCGAGAGTGTATTGAATTCCGTCCGCCCCCCGAGGAGGACGGAAAAGGTGAAGCCACTCGATCCTTGAAGCAGGAAGGCGCTTCGGGGCTTCGTAAACGGGGGCTTAGCTAAACGGTGGTTTAGGCTTTTCCATATACCCCCGTTTACTGTACCCCGTTTACGGCGCCCACGACCCCCTAAAGGGGGCATAGCCAAACGTGGAAATCGGCGTTCCCCGTACCCCCGTTTGCTGTGCCCCCGTCTCTGGCGCCGAGCGCTTCGGGAATCCAAAAATGCCCACTTTCAACGACCGATGGGCATACGCTCTGCCGCGGGGATTGTCAGAGGCAAATCGGACTCCCCCCGCAGCTCCACGGACGGGCTCGCAGCGGTCCAGGCGGAGCGAAGTGGTCACGTGACGAAGCCAGCGGAGCTCGAGCGACGCCAGGCTGCACTCAGCCCGCATCGCTTCCCATCCGCCCCAGCCCCCGTGGAAGAGAGGGCAAGGGGAGAGGAGGAAAGAGGGGAGGACCAAACGGGTGGTCGTAACGAGAAGCCTCTTGGCTTAGGTCGGGCATGTCCCCCCACAGGCGGATCTTGGACGAGAAACAACAATATAGCCGAAGAATGCTCAGAAATCCGCCGACCCTGTCGGCGTGTGTGAGGGGCTTGTCCGTTCAAGTCGTTCACCTCCGTCAGTCGTTGGTCGTCGTCTCTGTCGTCCCCTCTGCCTGCCTCCCCCCTTTCCCTGGGCTCGTCGAAGCTCCCCACTTTCCCAGGGACCTCCTCAGCGCGCCAGCCAAAGAGAAAATAAGCAACGCCGTAATTGAGTCGAAGGGAAGCCCCGTCCCTTCGGTCCCGCCGGGGAAGGGGGGGGTGGGGGGGTCCCAGGGGGGGGGGGGGTCAGACGCCCCAGGGGGGGGGGGTCAGATACGACGCCCCCCCCTGGGAGTCCTGGAGCCGAAAAAAGCACCAAGACGGGCCAAGAGTGCCCCAAGAGGCCCCAAAGACAGTCCAAGAGAACCCCGAATCGCCGAACGATCTGTCCAAGACGCCTTGACGGCCTCCAGACGGCCCAAGAGGCCTGCAGGGCGCCCCTAAGAGCCCTCCAGGAGCTTTCTCACGAGAGCCCCAAGAGGCAAAATTCATGGATTTCCCAATACGTGTTTGAAAGATTTTGGCGTTCTTGCCTCTTCCGCTTCCCGACGCGCCAAGACGGCACAAGAGGCCTCCCAAGATCGCCCCGAGGCGGCCCAAGAGGCCCCTAAGAGGGTCCCCTAACGGTCGACGAGGGCCCCAAGACGGCCCAAGACGGCCCAAGAGGCCCCCAAGACGGCTCCAGGAGAGTGCCCAGACGGGGGACCCGAACGGACATTTCGAGCTCTCAGCCCCAAGAGGCCCCGAAGAAGCCCCAAGAGGCCCCAAGAGGCTCCCAAGGGGCCCCCAAACTGCCCCAAGACAGCCCAGGAGAACCCCAAATTGCCCAGGAGGCCTCCAAGAGTGCCTCGAGACGGCGCAAGAGGAGCCCTGGACGGCCCAAGACGGCCTCAGGAGAGCCACAGGCTGTCCCAAGAAAGCCTCTGGCCTCCTCCTCGTCCTCCTCCTCCGCCTCCTCCTCCTCCTCCTCCTCCTCCTCCTCCTCCTCCTCCTCCCCCCCTCTGCTCCCCCTCCTCCTGCTCTCCTCTGCCTCATTCTCCTCGCCTTGCTTCTCCTCCACATCCTTCTCCCCCCATCCTCCTCTCTCATCCACCTCCTGGACCCTGCCCCCCCCTCGTTATCGTCTTCGTCGCTCTCAGGGTCGGCGGCAACGGCCGTAAGGCCTTCGCAATAGTCAAAAAATAATCGAAAAATAGTTCCCAGACTATTTTTGAAATATGTATTAACACTCCTCCTGTAGAGGGGCACGCCCGACTTAACCCTTGGCTCGGGTGCGCCGAAGCGGGGGGGAAAGGAAGGAGGGGGGGGAGCGCATCATGGCCCGAGGCATCTGCGCGGACCAGGGGGAGGGAGTCAAGAAGCGTGCTGAAAGAAGAAGAAGAAGAAGAAGAAGAAGAGCGGCCAGGAGGTTCTCGGAGACTTCATGGCCCTGGCCGTGACATCTACACCCCCCGTAAACCTCGGCCCCCCTCTTCTCAGACATCCTACGCCATGTTCTTGTTCGCAACGTGGCTGCCGTCAGGTCTACACCCCTTACCGGGAACAGGCCTTCCATCCGGAATCGTTTTTTCACGGCCTCGGGTTCCAGTCTCAGACCTCCTCGCGTTGCGAAAAATCACGACGGGAGGTTTTTGGCTATTTCCAGCCTCTGGGGACCGTCAAAAAGTGACTGAGGACGAAAAACTGGTCCTGGGGAGGGGGTCCACACCTCTGGATAAGGAAAAATCACGACGTCGTAGGTCTTGGGTGAGGGACCCCGGAGGCCGAAGATTGCAGAATACCTTGATATTCTCTAGTCGCGAGGACGTCTGGGTCCCTGACATCCGCCGACATGATATGTTCAATCCTCCTCCTCCCCCTCCCCCTCCCCCTCCACAATGCAACAATATGAACACTACTCTCCTCTCCCCTGGTGGCGTCCAAGAAATGGCTGGCCCCCCCTCCGCGTACTGGTTTTTTACACACTGGATTCTCGGGACGCGGGTGCTTTCGCTTGGGTTTGTTGTTACAAATGCTGTTCTCGCTGAAAGGCTGACCTCATTTTCGGGCTACCGCTCGTTCCGAATCGTGCTCCCGCTGCAGCGCTGGCCTCGTTTCCGCGATTCCGCTCGTTCCGAATCGTGCTCCCGCTGCAGCGCTGGCGTCATTATTTCGAGTGCCATGCCCGGGCATGGTTTTCGATCCTTCCAAATCGGACCCCAAATTTAGAAAATGGCCTCCCGAAGAAACCATCGGAAGTGACTACATATTCGGTGTCGACTATTTAATTGATTGGGCCGCAAAACCCACGCCCCCCTCACCTTGGGGCGTCACCACGCCATGCTATGTTAGGCTACGCGCTAGTCTTCAACACCATGCTATGCTATGTAATGCTATGCAATGCTACGACATCTGGATGTGCGAATAGGGAGGAGATTTGCGCCATGGTAAGGGATGGGAGGGAGGGGTAGGACGTCAGATATGACGCGAGCGCACCTAGCGTGTCCTCCTCCTCCTCTTCCCCCTCCCCCTCCTCCTCCTCCTCCTCCTCCTCATCATCATCCTCCTCCTCCTCCTCCTCGTCCTCCTCATCCTCCCTCCTCCCTCCCTCCCTCCCGCCCTGTCTGCCTCCCTGCCTTCCTCCTCCTCCTCCTCCTCCTCCTCCTCATCCTCCTCCTCCTCCTCATCCTCCTCCAAGAGGGCCCTTAACCTGGACCACGGATCCATTTTTGATGGCCCTGGGGCCCGATGCGCAATCCGCCCTGGGGGCCGAAATCGAAGGAAAACGCCGAAGTTGCAAAGACGATACAGCCAGAGAGCTGGGGCCTCCGACGCCCCCGAGATCTGTGAAGGGCCCGCCGGCGGCCGGGCCGCCCCCGCAGCCCCCACGCGGGGGGTACGCGCGCGCGAGCGCGCGCGCCAGCCCTGGGCCCGGCCGAGCCGGCCGGCATCCCCTACGAGAGTCACCTCCTGGCCTCGCACCGGAGCCTGAAGTTCTGGAGCCTGGCGGGCAGTCGGGGACGCGCTACAGCAGACACAGATTTGCAACCCTGGGATCCTGGCGCCGCAATTGTTTCGCAACTGGCGATTTTGCCTTCAATCAGGCCCCGGGACCCTCACGGATCAATCCTTGCTCGGAAAATGCAGCAGAAAAAAATGTCCAGGGCTCGACTCGAGTTGTTGTACGATGTAACATTTGTTCGTAACGTCAGATCTCAGGCCTCCTCTTCTTCAACTTTTTTGTCTCTTATATACATTATGCTTCTTCTAAATGTTACGATTGTTTGCAGTATGATTACTTGAATTGCTTTGTTCCCTACCTAGGCTCTGCCTAGAAAGGTTCTGACTCAGTTTGCTTAAAGGGGCCGGGCAGTGCTAACCGCCCCGGGCGGTTCCCCCGGTCCCCTGGGACCCAAGCAAAAGCAACAGCAAAGGTAAAAGCAAACGCGCGGTTCCCCTAGTTGCGCTCCCTGGGTGCCAAGCAAAAGCAAAAGCAAAGGCAAAAGTGAAGGCAAAAGCGAAGGCAAAGCAAAAGCATAGCATAGCCTAACATAGCATAGCACAGCGCAGCATAGCATAGCGCAGCCTAGCATAGCATAGCATAGCCTAGCCTAGCCTAGCCCAGCATAGCATAGCATAGCCTAGCCTAGCCTAGCCCTCGATGTAGGTGTCGATGTAGATGTAGATGTAGGTGTAGATATAGATGTAGATGTAAAGAACTCCCCAGTGCCCCGCCCTAATCTCCGTGCCTGCTTGCTTTTGCTGCTGTCTCGGCGCCTTGCTGCCTGCTTCTGCTGCTGCTTCACTTACGGCGTGGCGCCGGCGGTTCTGGCGCTACTACTACTACTACTACTACTACTACTACTACTACTACTACTACTACTACTACTACTACTTCTACTGCTCGTACTACTACTACTAGTACTAGTACTAGTACTAGTACGAGTACTACTACTACTACTACTACTACTACTACTACTACTACTACTACTACCACTACCGGTACTGCTACAACTACGACGATGAGGAGAAGGAGGAGGACGGCGATTACTGCTCCTACTAATGTTGCTTTCTTAGAGGCTCCAACTCCCAGGTAGGGTCGCACTGGGATAATTTAAATATTAGCAGCAGTGGTAGTAGTAGTAGCAGCAGTAGCAGCAGTAGCAGTAGCAGTAGCAGTAGCAGTAGCAGTAGCAGTGACAGTAGCAGTAGCAGTAGCAGTAGCAGTAGTAGTAGTAGTAGTAGTAATGAAAATAGTAATAGTAGTAGACATAGTAGTAGTAGTAGTAGTAGTAGTAGTAGTAGTAGTATAGTAGTAGTAGTAGTAGTAGTAGTAGTAGTAGTAGTAGTCGTAGTCGTAGTCGTAGTCGTAGTCGTAGTCGTAGTAGTCGTAGTAGTAGTAGTAGTAGTTGTAGTAGTAGTAGTAGTAGTAGTAGTAGTAGTAGTAGTAGTAGTAGTAGTAGTAGTGGTAGTGGTGGTGGTGGTGGTGGTGGTGTGGTGGTGGTGTGGTGGTGGTGGTGGTGGTGGAAGTAGTAAGTACTAGTAGTAGTAGTAGTAGTAGTAGTAGTAGTAGTAGTAGTAGTAGTAGTAGTAGTAGTAGTAGTAGTAGTAGTAGTAGTAGTAGTAGTAGTAGTAGTAGTAGTAGTAGTAGTAGTAGTAGTAGTAGTAGTAGTAGTGTAGTAGTAGTAGTAGTAGTAGTAGTAGTAGTAGTAGTAGTAGTAGTTGTAGTAGTAGTAGTAGTAGTAGTAGTAGTAGTAGTAGTAGCAGTAACAATAGTAGTAGTAGTAATAGTAGTAGTAGTAGTAGGAGGAGGAGGAGGAGTAGGAGTAGGAGTAGGAGTAGGAGTAGTATAAATAAAAATAGCATTGGGATGTTTATTAACATATTCCTCCTCCTCCTCCTCTTCATCATCAGCAGCAGCACCATCAGCGTCATCGTCATCGTCATCATCATCATCGTCAGCAGCAGCATCAGCATAATCAGCATCATCATCATCATCACCACCATCATCATCAGCATCGTCATCATCATCATCATCATCATCATCATCATCATCATCATCATCATCAGCATCATCATCATCGTCATCAGCATCGTCATCATCGTCATCATCGGCATCATCATCATCTGCATGAGCATCAGCAGCAGCATCGTCATCGTCATCATCAGCAGCATCATCATCAGCAGCATCATCAACACCACCACCACAACCACAATCATCATCATCATCAGTATCATCATCATCACCACCATCATCATCGTCATCATCACCATCATCATCTGTATCATCATCATCACCACCACCACCATCATCAGCGTCATCGTCATCGTCATCGTCATCTTCATCAACAACATCATGACCCTCATCGTCATCATCATCAGCAGCAACAGTATCATCATCATCATCAGCATCATCATCATAATCGTCGACGTCGTCATCATCATCATCATCGTCCCCCTCATCATCGCGACCATCATCATATTATCAGAATCAGAATCATCATCCTCGTCATCATCAGCAGCAGCATCAGCATCATTATCAGCAGCGGCAGCATCAGCATCAGCATCAGCATCATCATCACCATCGTCATCATCATCAGCATCATCATCGGCAGCATCATCACCACCACCACCATCAACATAATCATCCTCGTATGATCAGCATCATCATCATCTTCATTATCCTTTGATGAAACAAAAAAGGTTAAACTCCTCGGAGTCCAAGTGACCACATGTGTCCCCTTCTGCTGGTTATGGATGTTCTCTTGCTGCCAACAGCTGGCCCACGAATGACGCACATGAAACGAGGAAACTGGAGACAAACTACTTGTTACAGCCATTCCCAGAAGGCGAAAACAGATGTACAGCGGTCACGCATGGCCACTTCTACTGCCCTCCCTGTGGCTGAGCACGATTCCGCTCGCATGCGGCCCACCACTTCCGCCTCCTCCGACCTCCAACGCTAGCGGGTGTACAATCCAACGCTGCAACAAATAGTAGCGATCCGCACATATCGTTGGACCTGACACTACAAAGAGCTGCCTCTGTGGCTACGCTGCTTGACTCTAGATACGTAGTGCTGATGCCCCCCTCCTTTAGCTACAGGAGATCGCCTGTCAATGCACGCCTCGATCTCCACGAGGCCGTCTTGAGTTTGGTTTATATGCGCTCCCAGCTTGTCCCTCCTGAACTGGTAGTTGTCCTGGTCTTCCGAAGAGAGGTCAATCATGGACATGTCCTCCTCGAGCCGGCGCAGCATCGGGAGTTTGAAAAACGACTCTGCGAACAGCTCCACCTGGTCGCACACCTTCGGGGCCCAGATAGACACAAGTTTGCGTTGAAACTAGCTTCGGGGCCGAAGGAGCTTCCCGACATCCCTCCTCGTCCTCCTCGTCCCGCAGAATCTGCAGGACCCCCCGCCGAATCGCCAGGAACCCCTAAAACCTCCTCATCATCCTCCCCTCCACTCCTCAAGAATCGATAGAGAGACTATCAAAGCTTCAAAGCTTCCACCCAGACAGTCGTCGGGGGCCGACGGGCCCACTCAGAGATCCGACCTCAAGGCTTCCTACTCTGCACTCCGCCGACCCTCTGCCCCCCCCCCCCCCCTCCCCGCTGTTCGAGGCACCGAAAAACAGCAGCACAAGAGCATCCGCTTTCGGAGGTCCCCGCGGATCTCTCGGATCGGCGCTGGACCCCCCCCCCCCCTCCCTGACGCTTGGGGGGGGGGGGCCCAGCTCAGGCGCCAGACGTCCGCGCGGGAAGCTCCGCAAGCTGACGCTCACGCCACGCTTCTCTTCCTCCAGCCGCTCCCACGGCGCGGCCCCTGGGCCTCCCGGCGGGCACCGTGGGGAGGGGGACCCGCCGGGCCGCCTGCAGGCCATCTGGCGCTGCCCCTGGGGAGCCAGGCGGGCCTCTCCGGGTGGCCCGAAGGCTCGGCAGACCAGCGGGCTCGATCATCATGTGGCGGCGAGCGCGGGGGGGGAGTGAGGAGGAGAAGGCCTTCCCAGAAGGCGGCGGGAGTTCTCAGAAGCCCTCGGCGCCCTCTCTGGGAAGCTTCTCGTTTCTGTCTTCGGGGAAGGCTCGGGCAACTTCTCAGAAGGCCAGGGGGCATCCGAGCCTGCTGAAGAGGCCTTCTCCTTCTCACTTCCCCCCTCGCTCGCGGCCTCCTCCTCCTCCTTCACCTCCCTCCCCTCCTCCTCCTCATCCTCCTTCTCCTTCTCCTCCTCCTCCTCCTCCTCCTCCTCCTCCAACTCCTCCTCCTCTTCGTCATCATCATCCTCGTCGTCGTCCTCCTCCTCCTGCTCCCTTTCCCCCCCGCATCCCTACTTATCCCTCCATTTTCTCGCGATCCCTCCTCCTCCTCCTCCTCCTCCTCCTCCTCCTCCTCCTCCTCCCTCCCTCCCTCCCTCCTCCCTCCCTCCCTCCCTCCCTCCCTCCCTCCCTCCCTCCCTCCCTCCTCCTACTCCTCCCTCTCCTCCTCCCTCATCCTTAGCCTTCTCTCCCTCCTCCTCACCCTCCTCATCCACCTCCCTCGTCCTGCTCATCCGTGCTCCTGCTCATGCGCACGTTCTCAGTTACCCCCATAAGTATCACGCGAGCACAAGCGCAGGTCAGAAGGGGCCTACATGCAACCCAACGAGGCGAAAATAACAAGAGGGAGAGAGAGAGAGAGAGCGCGGTGTTCCTTGGGCAGCTCAGACGGATCAAACCCTTTACCTCCTGCATCCTTCCCCAACAAGGAAAGCGGCACGGACGGAATCCCCATGACCAACCGAGCCCCTGGAAGCTCACCCTTAAACCGCTTTCTTCTCCCACTGCACTTGCGACTAGGGGGAGGCAGCTGCCCAACAGCTTGGGCCCACACTTGGTCGTGGCCAAGCCTCCGCACCTGGTGCACCGAATTGGTGGGAGGTCGGGGCCGATCACCCAGGAAACATGGAGCGTGTGACCATGGTGGTCATCGCTAGACACTTCGGTGGCAATTCATGGGAGCCTCCCATACCATCTTGTCGGCTCTTGCGAATCGACGCTAATCGACGCCAGTCGACGCTAATCGACGCTAAATCGACGCTAGATCGACGCTAGTCGACGCTAATCGACGCTACCTCATCGACTCCCAGACTCTAATCGACGCTAGTCGAAGCTGAAGACGGATCTAAGAGGGTGCACAAGGCTCCCATGGTTTGCTACCGAACAAACACGAGCTTCAAAGTCGAAGGGCTGAAACCTTTACGCCTTCCCCGAGACTCAGGCCCCACACGGCGGAGGCACTGAACACGTTTCCCGTTCGAGGCATTGCTCCGCCAGACGAGCTCGCGAGGGAGGGCGGTGCCGGGCGGAGTCGTCTCTCCACGGCCTCCTCACAAACGTCGCCGATCTGCCCCTGGAGAGCCGGGCAGTTGCTCTGCCATGAGAGCACTTCCAGATGCGGTGCCACGAGGTGTCCCTGCAGCGGCTGTAGGGACATTCAGTTGAACGATCAAAGCCCCACCTCGACAGCGTGACAAGAGTGGGGCAGGAATCGCAAAGGACTTCGAGAAAAATGATAGCCGCTCTACCAGTAAACTCGGCGCGGAAAGAGGCCAAGCATTTCTCAGCAAACCTCCACCAGATGCCACGATCTAGGATGTCGTGCCATACTGAAGCAGCGGGCTTAAACTTGCTTTGGATGACCCTCAGAACATACTTTTCGTTCAGCGGGGTGACAAACAGTTCATTAAGAGAATCTGGGCTGTGGGTGGCGAAAAGGATTTCCAGCCCCCTAGCATCAACAAAGCTGGCAGGACTCTTGCTCTCCCACCCCGTTTCGAGAAGCAACAAGATGTCATCTGACACTGTGCCTCTGCGTGTTGTCTGCCACCTTTCAGCACTGCAAGAGGAAATCCTAACCAAGGCCGAGTTGAAAATTAGCTAAGAACGTGAAGAGACAAAACATCACCGTACACATGCTGATCCTGGTGACCTAGATCCCGACTCACTATCCGCCTTTCTTCCGCATACCTAAACAAGGGCATCGCGGCAACGTCGGTGGGGTCCCTGGTTACTGAGAGGACCCACACAAGATCCATAAGAGCCTCTCTGAAGAAGATGTCACAATCTCGCGCACCAGCCACCCTGATGTGCTGGACTTGTTTGAGACTGAATCCTGCAGTCCCACCACCGTAGCTGAGGCATGCCTTCACATTGGTCTGAAACACTCGTGCTCTGTGCCGCGGCTTGGCCTTGATCATCGTAAGCCGCTGTCACTTGTAAGAAACGTTTGCGAACCTCTTGGCCCTGGTCCTGAGTCTACCGAGGTTCCCTCGAGGCTTCCCCGAGGTGTGAGTCACCTCAGGGGAAGCTCCCTCTCCGAGGCCCCCGAGGGCCACCGTAGCCCTGGTCAGGAGCGGCCCACAAGAGGCCGTCATGGCAAACTTCCCGACGGACATCGGGCGATGAAGCGAACCCCGGAGAAGCGTGATCATACTGCCCGCGAGCCCTCGCATGGTGCTAAGGACACCACCACCACCACCACCACCATCATCATCATCATCATCATCATCATCATCAGCATCATCATTATCAACATCATCATCATCAGCAGCATCATCATCATCATTATCGTCACCACCACCACCACCATCACCATCATCATCATCATCATCATCATCATCATCATCAGCATCATCATCAGCATCATTATCAGCATCATCATCAGCATCACCATCAGCATCAGCATAATCATCATCAGCATCATCATCGTCGTCATCATCAGAATCAGCATCATCGTCAGAAACATCAGAATCGTCGACAGCATTATTATCATCGTCATCATCATCATCATCAGTATCAGCATCAGCATCAGCATCAGCATCATCATCATCATCATCATCATCATCATCATCATCATCATCATCATCACGGTCATCATCGTCATCATCGTCATCATCATCACAATCAGCATCATCATCAGCATCATCAGCAGTATCATCAGCATCATCATCCGCATCTTCCTCTTCATCATCCTCTCCCCGTCATGATCATCATTAGCAGCAGCATCATCATCAACACCGTCATCATTATCATCAGCAGCAGCACCACCACCATCATCGGCAGCAGTAGCATCGTCGTCGTCATCATCAGCATCATCAGTATCATCGTTGTCGGCGGCGTCGTCGTCATCAGCAGCATCATCAGCATCATCATCATCCTCATCCTCATCCTCATCCTCATCATCATCATCATCATCATCATCATCATCATCATCATCATCATCCGTATCATGTCCTCATCATCATCCGCCTTCTCATCAGAATCATCACCACTGCCATCATCACCGACATCAGCATCGTCACCATCAACATCCTCAGCAGATCATCACCATCATCAACAACATGATCATCATTATGATCATCATCTTCATCAGCATCATCATCACCATCATCATCATGATCATCAGCATCATCAACGACAGCAGCAGCAGCCACATCATCATCATCATCATCATCATCATCATCATCATCATCAGCAGCAGCAGCAGCAGCCTCATCATAAGCATCATCATCATCCTCATACTCATCGTCTTCCGCTGTTTCAACCTCTGTGTGCCCGTCCTCCGCATCCTCCTCCAACCCCATCACCACACCTCCACACTTGTCCCTACCTGTATTCCTCCCCCGTACTCGACATCACCGCCACAATCACCACTGCACCACCAGCACTGCCATCATCCCCATATCCTAATAATCATCCGTGTGTTGTTCCTCATCCTAACTCTTCTCCTGTCAACCCACTCCTCACCCTGCTCAGCTCAAGAAAATTCTTCTCTGTGTCCCCTCAGGCCGGGACCACAGGGGATACCCCCAGACACACGAAACATGTGTCATTGGATAATGGCAAGATACGTTTCACGTGACGTGCCCCCTCCTCCTCCTCCTCCTGATCCTCCTGCTCCTCCTCCTCCCCATCATGCTCAGCCTGGTCCTCATTCCCCCCCCCCCCCCTAGAGCCCACAGACGATCGCAGGAACCCCTGAGCCTCCAAAATCACCCATAACTAACCAAAACCGCAGACAGCCCTTCCCCCTCCTGGTACGCAGGCTCCCCTTGACCATCACCATCACAATCACCAGCACCAGCATCGTCATGAGCATCATCATCATCATCATCATCATCATCATCATCATCATCATCATCATCACCACCACCACCAGCACCATCAGCAGCAGCAGCAGCATCATTGCCATGATCATCATCATCATCATCATCATCAGCAGCAGCAGCAGCAGCAGCAGCACCATCATCATCATCATCATCATCATCATCATCATCATCATCAGCAGCAGCAGCAGCAGCAACAGCATTATCATCAGTATCATCATCATCATCATCATCATCATCATCATCATCAGCAGCAGCAGCAGCAGCATCATTGCCATCATCATCATCATCATCAGCAGCAGCAGCAGCAGCAGCAGCAGCACCATCAGCAGCAGCAGCCGCAGCAGCAGTTTGATCGTCCCTGCGCCTGCGAGCGGATGTAGCTGTAGGTTTTCAGAACCAGCATCTGAACCTTGTCGACGGCCGTGTCGATCTCCTGGGGCCCTGTGGGAATCTCGGAGAGCCACTTCGACAGTGTGGTCTCCTCGACAGGGCGAAGGAGGCAAGTCCTCTGCCGTCCTCTACTCCACCCCGCTCCACTCTACGTTACCATGTCCTGCTCTCCTCTACCCCGCTACGATTGGCTCTACTCCAATCCGACCCCGTCTACTCTACTCTGCGCTGATCCACGCTGCTAGACTCTACTATGCCCTGCCCGATTCTGACCCTCTAATACTATATACTCCCCATTCTGCCGTTCAGCCCGCCGATACCGCCCACACCCGGGGGGCGACCCGAACCATCACCAAAGCAATACGCAACCGACGCTTCCCTTTAAAACATGGACGTCTTACCGCTGCCGTTGCAAAATGCGCGGCAGGAGCGGGACTGGGCGCGCATCTCGCGCGAAGGGCGGAATGCCGCGATGGCCTCGGCACCGCGCCCACTTGTCCCGGGAGCTGGGATCCCACTTCGGTGTGGCGCGCAGCCTCCTCGCCAGTTCGCCGACGCGCGAACGGACGAAAGCAATCTGAAGTTCCGGTCTCGCCCCTGCGCGGCCCGTTTCCGTTCCCGCCCCTGTGCTATCCCCCCAACCCCCGCCCCGTCGCCAAGCCGTCGGAAGCGGGACCGCTACTACTACTACTACTACTACTACTACTACTACTACTACTACTACTACGACTACGACTACTCCTACCACTACTACCACTACTACCACTACTACCACTACTACTACTACGACTACGACTACTACTACTACTACTACTACTACTACTACTACTACTGCTACTACTACCACGACTACTACTACGACTACTACTACGACTACTACTACTACTACTACTACTACTACTACTACTACTACTACAACTACTACTACTACTACTACTACTACTACTACTACTACTACTACTACTACTACTACTACTACTTACTACTACTAACTACGACACGACTACGACTACGACTACGACTACGACTACGACTACGACTACGACTACGACTACGACTACGACTACTACGACTACCACGACGACCGCGACGACAACGACGACGACGACGACGACGTCTACTACTACTACTACTACTACTACTACTACTGCTACTACTGCTACTGCTGCTGCTAGCAATGAAAATAACAATACTAATAAGACGACTACTACTACTACTACTACTACTACTACTACTACTACTACTACTACTACGACTAATACTAGTACTAGTACTAGTACTACTAGTACTACGGCTACTACGACTACTACAACTACTACGACTACTACGACTACTACTACTACTACTACTACTGCTACTACTACTACTACTACTACTACGACTATTACGACTACTACTACTACTACTACTACTACTACTACTACTGCGACGACTACGACTACTACGACTACGACTACTACTACGACTACTACGGCTACTAAGACTACTACGACTACTGCTACTACTACTACTGTTTCTACTACTACTACTACTACTACTACTACTACTACTACTACTACTACTACGACTACTACTACTACTACTACTACTACTACTACTACTACTACTACTACTACTACCACTACTACCAGTACTACTACCACTACTACTACTACTACTACTACTACTACTACTACTACTACTACTACTACTACGACTACTACTACTACTACTACTACTACTACTACTACTGCTACTACTACTACTACCTCTACTACTTCTACTACCTCCACCACCACCACCACTACTACTACTACTACTACTACTACTACTACTACTACTACTACTACTACTACGACTGCTATTACTACGCACTCCACGCGGCTTCACTCCTAGTCCTTTCCAACCAAGTCCACTCCAGTACATTCTACCCTACCGAACTCGAAACTTCTCGGTCTACTGTATCTAGGCTGCCCTAATCGGCGCTTCTCTACCACAAACGACGCCGACTTCAATCCCCAGGGGTCCAATCCTGTCCTGTTCAGTCAAAAACGGTCAGGAGGGGCTCCGTTTCATCGATCGGCGAGGATCGAAATCTCTACGCAACGTCGTTCGAAATAACGACTCGGGATCTTGACCCTATCTTTGCATTCGATTCTTCGAACTGGGTCGATGCGCCAGGGTCCCCGGGACCGAGATGGAGCGAAACAGCTCGTCGCAGCTTCTTCTTACGAGGCCCAGACGCCAGGGCCAGCCCAATGAGTTCGCCCCAAAACAGTCCGCGGACCTTTTCCAGGAACAACCCTGGCCCGTCCCCCGAGTCGAAAGTGCCATTCCCATGGGATGATCATGCAGGTGGTGACGTGATAGCGAGGGGAAAAATGGGGCAAAGCTTCGCCTCGCAGGTAGGACGCACGGTGTGTACGCGAGCAGCCATGGCGCGCGTACCTCACGCACACAAGCCCGAACGGCGGAGGAGATAGAGAATGCCCTGAGACACCTCCGAGCTCCTTCCCTGGCCGCATCGACGAGGGATCTAGACATCCGGCGTCGTGACTTTTTCACTGCGTGGCCCCTAGAAGTCTGGACCCGGTTCTGGGGACCAGTCTGTCATCCCGAGCCGCTGCTTGACGATCCGGGGGGCCGCGGTCAGCGCCTTTGGAGGCCGATCCGATGGCCAGAAAACCTGCGGCCGGGACTTGCCCACGGCGCGAGGAGGCCAGGAGAGGGGCCCTTTAAGGCACCCGGAGCGAGGACGACGAGGACAAAAAGGGAGACAGGGGAACGGACAATGACACAAACATTGAAAAACTCAGAGGTCCGCGCGGATTTCTCGGATCGGCGCTGGACTTCCCTCCCTGGCGCGAGGAGCGCGCCAGGGGCGGCGCCGGAAGCGCCGCCAAGGGGGTCCAGCGCCGATCCGAGAAATCCGCGCGGACCTCCGAGTTTTTCTGTTTGTGTCATTGTTCGTTCCCCTGGAAGGGATCCCCATGGGGAGACTAGCGAAGCAGCTCACGCAGCTGACTTCTCGGGCGCGTCCTGGAGCCGGAAGGGCGCCGGTGCATCGAGGAATCGAAATCGAAAGCGCGTGGCGGCGAGGCCGACACCGTGCGCGTGCAGTAGTCTTCGTCCCCCCGGGCCCCAACCTCCCCCTGTCGTCATCATCATCATCATCATCATCATCATCATCATCATCATCATCATCATCATCATCATCGTCATCATCATCATCATCATCATCATCATCATCATCAGCATCATCATCATCATCATCATCATCATCATCACCATCATCACCATCACCACCACCACCACCACCACCATCATCATCATCATCATCATCATCATCATCATCATCAACAGCATCACCATCATCATCAGCATCATCGTCGTCATCAGAATCAGCATATCGTCAGAAACATCAGAACCGATGACAGCATCAGCATCATCATCATTATTATCATCAGCAGCATGATCATCATCATCATCATCATCATCCTCATCATCCTCATCATCATCATCATCATCATCATCATCATCATCATCATCATCATCATCATCATCCCTGCCCCAACATCCCCCTCTCGTCCGACCCGAGTACTTCATTCATTAGAGGTCTCCCAAATGGAGTCCGAATAGGTGGGGTCGGAGGATCTTGTCACATGGCTCGGCGATACATCGGTCAAATTGGACGTTTCCCTCTACAGAAGAAAGAATCAAGAATAGTAGTACATAGTCAGTTGGAGATGGTTCGTGCTCTTTTGACTATGTGTGATGACTTTTTGACTATTTCCTACTTTCCTCCCAAAATCCGCCTGTAGGAGGACATGCCCGACCTAACGCATTGGCGACGTCGGCGATGCATCGGCGACGTCGGCGTGGAGAAGATCGGGCCCCAGATCGCACCGCGTCGCCGATGCATCGATGGCGCTGCCCGATCCTCCGACCCCATCTGCTCTGACCCCATCTGGGAGGCCTAGAGTCGTGGGGATCAGGGGAACAAAACATGGCATAATCGAATAGGGATCGACTACAGAATCGATGTACTTCAAAATTGGCCTTCCCGCCGAATAGATACAAGAAACCCGTAGCATGCTCGTAGACCTACGGGACATGATACGGATTTGTCTTGTAGATTAGGCGGGAGAATCCATTTTGGGGTAAACCAATTCTGTAGTCAACCCCCTACTCGACATGAACATAAACTTTCAGAGGTCCGCGCGGATTTCTTGGATCTGCGCTGAGACCCCCTCCCTGGCGCGCGGAGCGCGCCAGGGGCGGCACCGAAGGCGCCATTATAGGATAGGGGGCCAGCGCCGATCCAAGAAATCCGCGCGGATCCCTGAGTGCGTATATGTGCCGTCTTTTGTTCTTCGAGTCGTGGGGATTGCGCCCCTCGGGATCCATGCCGGCGCGGTTCTGGATCTCCTCCGGGATCCGCTCCTTGCTCGCGCCCGGCCGGAAGACCAGGGGGGGTGGGCCGACTCGGGGCCGGGATGGCTCCTCACGCCCTGAGGCGCTCGCCGCTGGGCTCCCCCATCTGCTGGTTCTGATCCTCCTGCTGCTGTGTAAGTCTCCTACCATTCCCTCATCTACTTGGAGGTGGTCAGTGGGTGGGCTTAGTTGTTGATTCGTACTGTGGACATCGTCCTGAGACTCTAACTTGTACTCTTACTCTTACTTCTACTACTCCTCCTCCTCCTCCTCCTCCTCCTCCTCCTCCTCCTCCTCCTCCTCCTCCTCCTACTCCTCCTCCTCCTCAAGCAACCCAGGCCCGGGCTTCCCTTGCCCCAGGCCAGCTCCAGGACCTCCGCGCGGTGCTTGGGGGATCTCGTCGCAGCTGTCGCATGTTCGACCGCCTTTGACGTTAACAAACACTGGAATTTGAAACGGTGCTACGGGATGGGTGCCGGAGAGTGGCGCCCAAGCCCGGCGGGCATGGGCACAGTGGTCGGCTGAGCGAGCCATCCACCGCCTCACCCGCGAGGTGGAGCAGCTCCGCAAGATGCAGTAGATGGACCCCAACGTCGTCAGCGACAGCGTTGGGAGCAGCAAGTGGGAGCAATATGGACAGTGGGAGCCTCCGCAGGACACGGCAGGAACGTTGGGGTTAGAATGGCAGTGGCAGCAGCGAGCAGAGCCGGAGGCGAAGCACGAGGCCAATGCCATCAGCTACAACGACGGGACTGTGTCGCACGACGCGAAGGTCGATCCCGACGCCCACAGCCACAGAACCGTGGACGACACATGCGAGAAGTCTGGAATGGCGGCAGCGGCAGTGACGAAGCACGATCCCGATGCCATCAGCTACAACGACGAGGCTGCGTTAGCTGACGCGATGGTCGACTCCGACGTCATCAGCTACAGACCCGCGGACGGTGCATGCGAGAAGTCTTGGATGGTGGCAGTGGCGGAAACGAAGCACGAGCCCAATGCCATCAGCTACAACGACAGGTTTGCGACGCGTGACGCCAAGGTCGAGCCCGACGTCATCAGCTACAGACCCGAGGACGGTGCATGCGAGAAGTCTTGGATGGTGGCAGTGGCGGAGACGAAGCACGAGCCCGATGCCATCAGCTACAACGACGGTGCATGCGCGAAGACTTGGACGGCGGCAGTGGCGGAGCCGAAGTACGAGTCCAATGCCATCAGCTACAACGACAGGTTTGCGACGCGTGACGCCAAGGTCGAGCCCGACGTCATCAGCTACAGACCCGAGGACGGTGCATGCGAGAAGTCTTGGATGGTGGCAGTGGCGGAGACGAAGCACGAGCCCGATGCCATCAGCTACAACGACGGTGCATGCGAGAAGTCTTGGACGGCGGCAGTGGCGGAGCCGAAGTACGAGTCCAATGCCATCAGCTACAACGATAGGTTTGCGTCGCGTGACGGGAAGGTCGAGCCCGACGTCATTAGCTACAGACCCGAGGACGGTGCATGCGAGAAGTCTTGGATGGCGGCAGTGGCAGTGACGAAGCACGAGCCCAATGCCATCAGCTACGACAACAAGACTGTGTCGCATGACGGGAAGGTCGAGCCCGACGTCACCAGCTACAGACCCGAGTACCGTGCATGCGAGAAGTCTTGGATGGCGGTAGTGGCGGAGACGAAGCACGAGCCCAATGCCATCAGCTACAACGACGGGGATCGGACGCGCGGTGCGAAGGTCGAGGCCAACGTCGTCAGCTACAGAAGTGGAAAAATTACCGAGTCAGACGTGGAAGCGTTTCTCCGCGAGCGAGCTGCAGAACAGAAGGAGTTTGAAGATAAATGTATCACACGAGCCATGAGATGGAAATCCCAGCCTTTCGTGCGACGTGTTGCGCACCTTGCGGCCGCATCACAAGGCAGTAATGGGAGATGGATTCACACACAGGTTGAAGTCGGTCGTACTCAACGTTACGAATGGAAATGGGAATCTGCAAAGGGCAACACACCGACGAAGCAGGACGGCGGCAGTGAGGCTGGAGACCTTCTCTCAGCTCTCGGTGCAGCCATTTCCTCAGCGTCGACGCGTTGAACCACTCCCTGCTGCCGAAGGCCTTCTGAGTGGAAGGTGGCACCGCGCCGTGCGGTCCCGAGCAGAGCATATCGCTACGCGATCAGGCAGAGACTCCAGAGACTCCTCCTCCTCCTCCTCCTCCTCCTCCTGCTCCTCCTCCTCCTGCTCCTCCTCCTCCTTGTACCAGTACGCCTACGCCTCCAGCCAGGACTGCCAGCGGTGTGCAGGGGTGCCAGGCACTTGTCATCATCGCTACTAGTGATGCCCGTCTTTGGACGAATATCGCGAGCAGGCCGTGGACGACGCGACGCTGCTGACGGCTGCTGCTGCGCCTCCTGGGGACTTGCTCTACACGAAGACCCGTTACCCCAACTCCCCCTTGCCTGTCCTACCTGCTCGTGATGGCTCGGGTGCCTGGCACTATGTTCGTGGGGCTCGTGCTGAACAGTTGGTGGTCACTGGGCAGGTGATCACGGACGGGTCGTGCTGAAAGCTCCTCTGCTTGGACGTCGCGGCGCGAGCGTGCTGGGGCTTCGTCCTCGTGGGGGGGCAGCAGCTGCCGTGGTGCCGCGTTCGGCCCTCTGCCTGGGCCTCGCCAGACATCGGCCAGAGCGGAGCTGCACGCCATCCTGAAGGTACTGGTCGTGGGGGTGGCTCCGCTCGACATCTACACGGACTACCCCCCTTTCATCGACGGCCTCGCTCGAGGCAAGCAGTGGTGCACAGCGGCCGCTCGCGACAACGTCGACCTGTGAAAGCGGCTGGGACACTACATTGAGGAGCACGGCGGCATGGAGGCTGCAGCTGGCGATGCGCCTCCGCCCCGCTCCTTCACGCACGAGCGGGGCCACCAGCGCGACGACACTTGGGAGCGCAGGTGCAACGACCGAGCGGACCAGGCGGCCAAGCGCGGGCGCAAGCTCCACGGCCTGCCGAGCCGCGCGGTGCAGCACCACGGCCGAGCGCTAGACCGAGTGCGCCAGACTGCCGCCTGGATCGCCAACGCCTCCAGGCTGCAGTGGACGGGCGCCGTCGCCGCCGACAGGGTTGAGGTTGCGAGGCGCCGCCCCGCGGAGCTCCGCAGGAGGTGGCGGGCGCAGCGCGGCCGTACAGCGGCCGAGACGCCGCCGCCTGCCGACGCCGCTGGGGCTGGGCCTGACGGCCCGCGCGCGCCGCCCACGGCCCCTGCACCGCCGCCCTTCCCGCACACCCTCCGTCTTCGGGTCGGTGGCAGTGTGAGAGGTGCCCTGCCTTCGCCTCCTCCAGGCGCGGGGCGCGAAGGCTTCGTTTCATCAGCTGTCCTGTGGCCGAGGCGGCGGCCCTGTGGGGCCAAAGCTTTTCATCGCGGGACGTTGCCTGCGCGGGGCCCGACGGTGGGCCCACGGCGCCTGGCGGAGCCTCGACCCCTTCCCTGTCCGCGAGTGGCGGCCCCTCCGAGGCCGAGGTCGGGAGTTCTCAGGAGCCCGAGCCTGATGCAGAGCCCGCCGTCATCGGTGCTCGTGGGCCCGTAGCGACTCCTGGCGTTTAAACGGAAAAGGTTGCGCAGCGAGGCCGAGCAGGGAGATCTCGACCTCGCGGACGTGTGGTGGCCCACGGCTAAGGCCACACGTGTGCACAGCTCCGTGGAGCCCCAACGTCCTCCTCCGTGCCCGACTCGGGCCAGGAGTGAGGCGGAGTGTAGGGAGGACGGCAGTAGGGCCTCGGGGGGCCGCGCCTGAAGGCGCCGCGGGTTGACGCCCCTGCCGCCCCGCCCTGACCCGCCAAGAGGCCTGGGAGTCCCAGGGGTGAGCCCCCCCTAAGAGGGACAAGGCCTATGGAGGCCAGCGGCAGGGGGGGTCCTGGGTCGCTCGGGTAGCCGTCCCTCCCGACCTGCCCCTTCCCGCTCACGGCCCCGTCGGGCCTGGTAGTGCTCGGGGTCACTCATTAGTCCTTGCTGGGCCTACCCTTGCATTCTGCCGCCGTTGTGGGGCCAAGACCCTGCCGTCGGCCCCCAGTTCCCGTTTGTGGGGCGAATGCTCGGGTCTTGCATCCAGGAAGGGCTCTACATGTTTGAGGGCCCTCACATTAGGTAAGGACCCTATCTCGGGGAGTGGAGGGGCGATCCCCGCCCTCTCCAAGATTATGATAACGCTTGCTGTTGGCTTCGTCTTTGGTAATTCGCCTGGCTGTTTGCTTCGTGGCTTGTAGTCATCTCTGCTTGGCTTCGTGCTGCGCTCGCTCGCCTCGCCCTAATTACCTGTTTCCGCCCCTTCTTCTCACGCTCGCAGCACCAGACATGCCATGGTGATGCCTCCTCCTTCTCCTCCTCCTTCTCCTCCTCCTCCTCCTCCTCCTCCTCCTCCTCCTCTTCCGCCTCCTCCTCCTCCTCCTCCTCCTGCTCCTCCTCCTCCTCCTCCTCCTCCTCCTCCTCCTCCAATTCCTCCCCCTCCTCCTTCCTCTCTCCAACTCCTCCTGCTGAGGCTCCTCATCCTCCTCCTCCTCTTCATCCTCCTTCTCGAAGTTGTTGGTCGCTTCCAGCCCTTTGCTGGCCTCTGGGATCTCCCGGGAGGGGTTATGGCTATCCTCCTCCTCCTCCTCCTGATCCTCCTCCTCATCCTCCTCATCCTCCTCCCCCGACCAGCCCTCAGAATCCCCCAGAGGACACCAGGACCCGTTACAACTCGAACCTCCCCCCCCTCTGGCACAAACGAAACGAACAATGTCTCTTCCGCCGCCTCCTCCTCCTCCTCCTCCTGCTCCTCCTCCTCCTCCTCCTCCTCCTCCTCCTCCTCATCTCATCATCATCATACCACCACCCACCACACCACCACCACCACCTCCATCATCATCATCATCATCATCATCATCATCATCATCATCATCATCATCATCATCATCATCATCATCATCAGCATCATCATCATCATCATCATCATCATCATCATCATCATCATCATCATCA